GGCACCGCTCTCCAGCTCTGCAGATGCATTTTCAGAATTATTTGCCCTTGTCCTCTCCAGGCTTTATTTATAGCTTATGCTTGGGGATTTATTAGCCCCTAAAATCCTCTGCTGAATTCTTCTTATCACCATCAGCAAGAGGCACAGCACCCGTAACCTTTCCTTTTTACAATGCAAGAGTTTCAAGTCAAATAGGCTTCAGATGTGCTGAGCAGAAACCCGCAACAATGATCTACAACCCTTATTTTCTTGCTCTGCGAACACAATAAAATATTTTGGGGCTGCAATTACTATTACAGCAGGTGTCTGAAGCCAGGGAAAAGGAAAGGAAGGTATAAGATCCCATAGGAGTGCAAAGAGCCCTGCAGTGTGGGGAGCTTCAGGCAAGCAGCAGGGAAGTCCCAAAATGCAACTCTGGCTTCCAAGTGAGTCAAATTTGTAAGATTATCAGGCCAATACTGCTGTACCAGTGGATAAAACCCCACTCTCCAGTACCCAGCATTGCAAGTTGGTAACGCAGCTCTTTGCATTGGGGATCCCCAGGAGCTGACAGGGGTTTTGTAAAATAGAAAATAGAAATAAAAAGGAGAAATCCATCCTGGATATAAGCCAACCAAATTCAATCCTGTTTCTCCAAACACTGGTGCTTTCTTCTCCTCCTCCCTCCCACACAACGACACACGAGCGGCGCATGGTGCCCAATTCAGTGGCAGTACCTGGAGGGGAAGCCAACTGCACTGATGCGGAGGGTCTCCAGCACACCACAAGCTCTGAGCTGCTGGTCCACTCTCTTCGCATCAAAACTGCAATTACAGTCAGGATACAGTTAGGACACACACAACACGGCAGGTGATTCAGTCCTTTACACCCACCGGACATTGCACTGCAAGGAAGGAAAGGTCTGAGGCAGCTGGTGCTGGTTTAGTGAGCCTTTTGGGTCCCTTGCAGAAAAAAAGGCTCTGCTGTCATCATCAGCATGGGAGTCAAAGAAAAGCAAGCATCAATGATGCCACTTATATGATCCTATCTGATCCTGCCTATCTGATCCTCTCTTTCCAATTTACATCTGATGTCTCCCATCCTCTCACTACTGGGAAGAGTTTGGCTTCATCTTTTTGGTAATCCTCTTACAGATACTACAAGACGGCTATTAGGTTTCCCTTAAGCCTTCTCTTCTCCAGGCTAAATGTCTCATCTTAGCAAAAAAAAGAAAAAGAAGAAAAAATGTTCTCACAGCTGAAAAATGTTAAGTTTTAGGTGGAAATTTTTTTTTTTCCTGAACAATAAAGCTGTAACACGAAGTGTTCTGCACGACACCACTTTGATGCTAACACAGTGCAGTGTCACTGACATCCCATTTCTCTAATTCTTCCTGGCATTTCAAGCAGAACTGCCTCTGAAATGCAAACTCCTTTACATCTGTGCCAGTTTTCACCACCTTGGTACAGACATCAGTATTATATACAAGTAAATAGGCTCAGTTGAAGCCATAAATCCAGACTGCCCTGGCAATACAGAAATGCAACGTCTCCACTCAGAGCCTGGACATTCCTTCTGATATTTTCAGCCCATGGTAGGAGCATGTGCAGAGCATCTATTTAAATTCCACTAGAGAGGGTTAGTAAACACTTCTGTACTTCATCTAAAGAAAATAATGAAACAAAAAAACATGTAACTTAATTTAGGATAAGATTCTTCTCCCCTAATGGCTAAACTACTTTGCAGTAAGAGGGAACAAGATCAGGCACAAATACATTACTCAAGAGGTCGAACAAGGCCATCAGCTACTGCTCCCCATGCTTACAGCTTTCGATACACCTCTCAAGCACAGGGAAGACCCAGATCACCTTTTTACTCCAGCTATTCACTCACCTGGAAATCTGCCTCAGGCTGATCAAAGTCATGTTTTTGTTTTTTTCACTTTACCTTGGAAGCATTGAGACATTTATTTTGTTCATTTTGCAAGCCATTTTGCGAGCTCGCTGCATATCTACACCTTTTCATTTTTCTCTCCGCTACTTTTCACTGTTTAATACTCTATTTATATCAAAGCGATTAAACATGCTGTCACTGCAAACCAAGAATGTGCCACAGCATGTGCAATTTAAGGATATTTATCTTTCAATACTAGTAGAGCATCTACAAAATTACTAGGATATGTATTAGTTTTTAGTTCAGTGAGACAGAGAATGCCTACTGAAACCCAAGAGAAGTAACTCCAGCTTTTGGGACCTGGAATGACACTGGGAGAGGAGCATCTCTTAAGGAAAAAGAGGTTGCTGGTGCTACACAGCTAAGCACATTATCCAAAAGCCAACTTACTTGAATGGGAGCTTCTCATCATTTGGCTTTATGCAGCGTATGTAGTGCGGGGTGGTGGCATTCAGTGTCTCCATAAGCAAATGCAGGGAGTTCCTGAACTGCGAGACAAAACCATTTATTTTTATGGATGAAGGTGCTTTAAGGTGCAATCCATACCAGCCCATAGCTATAACATGATACAAATCCCCTATGAGGCCAGCATGTACAGCAGCAATTCAGATAAGACGCTGGTGAGCTCCAGCTCTACAGTGCAGAGCACAGACAAGTGGGAATCAGAATCACCAAGTCCTTAAGGGTTGGGAAGAGCTCAGGAGGTCCCCAGGCCACCTGCCTGCTCCAAGCAGAGACAGCTATGGGCTCACACCAGCTTGCTCAGGGGTCTACCCAGCTGTGTCTTGAAAACCTCCAAGGATGGAGACTGCACAACCTTGCTGGACACCTGCTCCACTGCTAGGCTGTCCTCATGGGAAAAAAATCTACTTCTTCTTCAGTCAGAATCTACCTTGTTCCAATTTCTGACCACTATCAGACACAGAGTCTAATGAACCCCGCTGCAGTCCCAGCTTGGCTTATGCCACAGCTACATCCTTCCAATCAAGGCTACTTTCCAAGATTGCCAGAAGGTCTCTAAAACATGGCCAAACCGACCCCATCCCACAACCCTGGCGTGCAAGAGAAATCTCTTCAGTTTGCACAATAGCTTTTTATTCATCTCTGTTTCAGCTGGAGATGGAAGGGAGGCAAGACACCCTCAGCTGTGAAAATGAGGTGTCTGGATTCAGCTTTCCCATGCCTCTCAACTCACATCAAGCCAAGTACTGTCTACCTACTTTTTTTTCCCCCTTTTTAAGCTTGGCTGCTATCAGTCAGCTTGTCTGTGAGCCAAATCACAGGAGACACAGGAGATGCAGTAAGTTTAAATGAAGCAGCTGTGCATTAAGCTTTGGGAGACCATCTGGTTTCCATATCAAGGTCATTGCACAGGTCACGGTCACCTCTGATCAGTCATGCCAGGACCAAGAGTGGAGCAACTTTGCCGACCCTGTCACACTGCACCGTACCTGGTGTCCCACTGTCTTCTTGTGCTCCTTGTTGGCCGCTTTGACCGCGGGTCTGGCAGAGCGGACGTTGATCTTGGAGGTCCCCTTCTTCACCGAGGCAGCGGGCGCAGTGTCCTTCTCGTCCTCGAACAAGTCTGCAACCATCTGGTACTGAAAGGAAAGACAAGGGCTGAGCATCCTCACCAGGGCAATAAACTAAAGACAAGAAGCGTTGCAGCCGTGTAAACCACACCAGCAGGGACATCGGGGACCCTCTTTTGCAGTTCATCAACTCTTTAAGCACGCGCATTAAATGGAATGAGCAGAAAAGGCAGCTCATTAGCGAAAAGGCTGTCGAAACCCACTCAAATCATCATTACCAAAGTCATGCTGGCTTTTCAGGACAGGTTATGGCTTTTCTATGCCTAGTTATTATTTATTTATTTTAAAGGAGCAGCATCTTTATACTTGCATTAGGCCCAAAGTTAAACGCTAACTGCAGCAGTGCCTGGCAGCAATGCCAGCTCCAAAACCCCAGCTCAGTGAGGTGCAAACCACCAATTTGCATTTGGCTGCTGCTTTGCATTACTTGCACATGCCTAAAAGTGAGGCAGTTCTGAGCTGCACCCAGTGCCATTACCCACTGATGGATTTGGAGAGTTCCTGAGTTTGAGGAATGACAGTGTTCCTCACCCTCAGCTAATTTGAGCCCCCTCCAATCCTAAATCTTTTCTGAAAATGCAAAAACATAAGTTGAAATTTGCTATGCAAACTTTAACCAAAACACTGCCTTGTTTTCTTTCTTGTTGCTGATCCCTCGAAGAGGATGGCAGAGCCTGAGCAGGTCACAGACCTGAGGTTTGCAAGCTGCAGTTCCACCATCTAAAGGTTAACTCTGCTTTTTCTTCTTCCAGAATGAAGGAAATAAATGGGAAATAAATGCTTGATCTGAGAGAGCCTGAAAGACTGTTGTAGCTCCCACAGCTCATGGTCACCAAATCGCATTAGACTTTGCCTCCTCCGGCTCCTCCTAAAGGCTAGTTTGGTGTATTCAGAGTAAGTTCTCAAAACCCAACAGTGCTTTACCACGTTATATTCTTATTAAAGGCTGCTGATCTCATTTTTACCAGCAGCTGTTGCCTACCAGATGGTTCTCCACCGCTCCCCCGACCGCAGATACGAGTATTTCCAGCCCTGGTGCCGGCTTGTTTGCATAGCTTGCTAGTGCAGCAGTCTAAATACTGGCGTGGAAAAGCAACTGTTTGCATTACACTATCAGATTGCTCGCAGGCTCCGAGACCGCGCTCGCTGGGGAGCTGCTGCGTGCTCACGGCTGTTATTTTTATCTCTGCAGCTTGCTCAACTCCTACCCACTGCACATGCCAAAACAAACGTTCACACCCTTCCTCCTGCCATCCAGCCCCAAAAAAGACATCCTGGCAGCTGTTTGGCTCTCAGGACATGCTAATCTCCAGCGCTTTGCCTGCTACAGAAGTGGGATGCTCAGGGGGCAGGTGCTGGAAGCTGGAAGGCGACCAACGAAGACTTCAATTTAGCAGCTCACTGGACATGGCAGCAAAATTCCAGGCTGTCATTTCAGGTTCCAAAATATCTTTCAATGCTTAGTCGTCTGTGTCATCGATCCCTGGCTCCGATCACTGCTCAGGGCATTAAAGTGCTGCTACCAGGCCAGTGACCAGCAGTGGTCTCAGGGCTGAATTTTCAGCTTAGGTAAAGCAAAAGTGGTGCAGCTTGAACCATTTGCACCAGCCCAGAAACTGGAAGACAGAAGGACAAAACCTTCCTTCACGATTTCCCAAATTGAAATTGCTGGTGCATTATTCATAATTACAAAGGGCAGGAACATAATCTCTTCAACAGCATGCCCCTGCACTCCCCGCTTGGCATTCAGACCAGCTTCCTTCCCTTGGAGAACACCATCTCTCAACCATTTTAGCTGACCAGTGCTCTCAAAAGTAATTAGCTGCTTTATAAAGTCCTCGCTGTCTCGTTGGCTGAAATAATTGCATTCTAATTAGCAGGAGGCAATTCCACTGCGGTGGGAGCTCTTCATCAGCAACATACTTGCTGACAGAGAGATGTTCTGGTCTTTGCTGTGTTAAATTGGTAGCGGTCCCCCACCTTGCCTGTGCATTGCCTTGGTGGGAATAGGACGGAGAAGCCAGTGCATGCTTAGGTCTGATCCTGGTCCTTTGCAAGGCAGGACAAAGTCCTTGTAGCACAGCCTTCATCAGCACAAAGGCAAGCTTTACACAAATCAGTACATCCCTCCAAATTCAGACTTTTCTGTTAAGTTCAGAGAAACTGGACTGCTCTTTACAGAAAGCAACTTCTCTATGGTTTAGACATCTGTGGAGTCCATGTGACAGGTGGAGATGAAATAAGGAAGGAGACGGAATGAGGAAAAACAATTTTTCTTGAGGGTGACACTGAAGCAGGTAGCCCAGAGAGGTTGTGGAGTCTCTTTCTCCAGAGATGCTCAAAAGTCTCCTGGACATGATCCTGTTTGGATCCCAGATTCAACCTAGGCGACCTTGCTTGAGCAAGGAGGCTGGACCAGATGATCCCTAGAGATCCCTCCAGCCTCCACCCTTCTGTGACTCTGAATCTACCTGGCAAAAGGACAAGTGGAAAGCAAAAAAGTAGGATTTCAGAGGCTTCATGTTAAAACCACAGTCCCTCTCTGCCTGGGAACCAGCTGCAGAGCCACCACAGCAGCACTGGGAACTCACCAAGTGCTTCCGCATGATCCAAAGATCATCGGCATAGTTTTGGAGCCATGTAAGTCCAAGTCTTCGGCCTTCAAATATACCTCCTAATACCTTAAGTTACTCTGCTCCAAGCAAGAAACCCTATGTTTCAAGCCAAGAAAACCAGCTGCAAGGAGTGTGGTTTGGTTCTTTGCTATCAAAGTCCAGCCTACTCTGTGGGGCAGGAATGACACTTGTGCAAGAGGCCAACCAAGGTGCATGGTCCTTAACACACTTCATTGCTTCTGGAGTGCCATCCTGATGCCTGTTCCATCCAGAGGCATTAAGAGGTGGAGATGGCAGCAAGCCAAAAGTAGGAACCAAGCCTCTTGCTCTCCTCCCCATGGAGTAGCTACTGCACAAGGAGAAGGATTTCCCAAGAAAGGTTTGCAAAACCTTGGTAAAACCCAGATGTCAGCAGATGCTGATGCTGTGCAGGCCACGATGGCAAGGTAAGGGAGGCAGCAAACTGTGACTTTCCGCCTCCTCATTTGGCCATGTGCTTTCATCACAGCTACAAAGCCATCGGACATCTCCAAGCATTTATTCAGTCCTCCAACCCTCACCCAAAACAGCCATCACTGGAGCAGTACCTTCAGCAGCAAGTTCAGCCCTGGCTAAATAATTCATCATAGAGCATCAATTATTCCTCTGGACTACCTGGCGTTTCTAATAAGCCCTAATCAGGCAAGATTTTTGCTCTGAGAAAACTGCAAGCTTCCTGAGCACACAGCACTTTTGATTTGGGCATTATTAGAGCCCAGCTTCACAGTTATTAAAGACCTGCAACTGCCCCCATGGACAGGAAAATTGCATACTTTGCAGTCTTCCTATGAATTCAGTGCTGAAATGCAGGGTGAGCCATTGATAACACTCCATTAATTTCCCACTCTTGCCTCTCTTATTCGACGGGAATAAACTCTTGCTCCTATAAATAATACTTGCTCCCTTTCCCCTCATTGTGCTCCTTCTCAAGCAAAGGGACCAAAATCTCAGTGTGTGACATACACTTCTGTTAAATAATATTTGGGAGAATTAAAAAATAAGAGATGCACCTGGAATGGTTAGGGCAATTGAAAAAAGCCTTAAGTCATTAAACAGCAACTAAACTAACTTGCTTAAGCAATTAAACTTGACTTTGATTAGCATAGGAGTGTTTCCAGTCCGTTTCTAAACAATTCACACATCAATTTCCTTAACAGTCCTTAACATCTTTGTCATTTTTAACCAAAGCCCCTGTGTGCTTTATGCATGTCCATGTCCCATGTGTATTGTCAATGTGGGTTCAAGGATGGAAGTGGGGCAATACTGGAAGTCCATATAAAATCCGACCGTTTTGCAGACAAGCGTGGCCCCTCCTACACAAAGCAGACCCCACATCCCCTTCCTGCCCTTACCTTGCTGGCTTTCAGGATGTTGATCTGCTCTTCATACACGGTATCCCTGTTTTTCTCAAGAAAGCCCTCGCACTGGTACTCCACCTAATACAAGGAAAGGGGAAAAGGCAGAGGTTAAATTCCTCCTCACAAAAGCCTGATGACACAGCCACAACATGTTCCTCCCAAGGCAAGCTCGCTCAAAAAGCCTAAGAGGGAGAGGGGAACAACTAGAATGTAACAACTTTTTTTTTTTTTTTATTTAAAAAGAGTGAATCTGAACACAGGCAAAATCCTTAACACAAGCACAGATTGTTTCTTAGTCATTAAACTATTTTGTAGGGCATCCAGACGCATTTTCACCCCAAAAAGTGGCAGAACCTCAAAGATTATTATTGCCTTGCCTTTTTTTTTTTTTTTTTTTTTCTTAAAAGGCCCTCCAAAGCTCCCTCTGAGCTAACTGATAAACCTCAAAAGGATTTTTTTTTTTTTTTTCTTTCTTAAAAGGCACTCCAAAGCTCCCTCTGAGCTAACTGATAAACCTCAAAAGGACAGAAGGACACTATATGCACACACGCATGCACTTCTGTATTTGTAGTTCTACATTTTTAACATTTTCTGTCCAAACCCAAAACATGCATGCAAAGCTTGGCATCTTCTTGCTCCAAACAATGGGACTCCAACACACTGTTCCAAAACTTCTGCTCTCCCAAATAATCCCCTGCTCCAATATTTCTTTGGTGAATCTGTCCCGACAGTAAGTCATTTCACTGTGGCTTGGACAAAAGAGGATTTTTCTCTGCTCAGGAAAGCATACCTATCTAAAGCTTAGTGCAATAGTTGAGAGGCAGGAGCCTTCCAGCCGATCAAGGTCTGAGCACCCAGCCAACCATCCCTCTAAAAGGAGCTCACTGCTCCTATAAATTAATTGAGTGTGTGTGTGTGGACCTCTTCTTTGCTCCCACGGATTTGCCTTTCTGCACTCAAGGCCCCAAGCACACGGCGTTACCTTGTCTGCAAAGTGCACCACCACGAAGGAGGTGTTGGACATGCGGGGCTTCTGGAAATGCTGGTTGCCCGTGTGCTGGTTGTACAGCTTCTGCGCCCAGTTGTGGTCCGTTCCTTTGGGCACCTGAGTGGGAAGGAAAGGAACACAGATACAATTGGATGGACAAATACCCTGACTGCCCAGAGGCTCCTCTCCCAGCTGGCTGAGCAGGAGGAAGGACAACAGGAACCACAAAAGCTTGGGAAGAAGTAAGTCTACGATGTACATTACAGTCAACAAGAAAAAATCAAAAAGATGGCCCCAAACTCCGATTTCTCCACTGGTGTCACCAAAACCTAACAAGCAGGAGCTTGAGAACCAACCTATGAAAACTTCCAGGTCAACATCCCAACTCATGCCTCCATCGGTTTTCCATGCTCCAGATCCTGTTGACCAGACTGCCAAGGGGGCTACTCCAGCATTTGCTGCCTGGGCAAGGGATGTGTTTGGTTTTGTCACAAGGAAACACTGGCATTGCCACTGCTCAATAATAAATAATATGCATTACAAGAATGCTGCCAACAGCAGCTACATGGATATTAGAGAAAAGAAGTGCCTGTCCTCCCTGATTCTGGGAATGGGTGCTATGTTATTTTCACATATAGTCTTACACAAACACAGTAAAAATTTGCTTCCAGTGAAAATGCCTGAGTGCTGGTACTACTCTGACAGCCAGGTAGCTCCCACAGAAGGAAATAATAATAATAATAAAGCATTTTTGTGCTTAAGTTGCACTAAATGCTAGGCACAGACATCACACTGAAAAGCAGTTTTTCTGGGGACCAAATGACAGCCAATAGTTTCACAAACTGCTGAGACAACATTCAAGAGGTGTCAGTTTATTTTAAAATAATGCTAATAAAATGCTTAAGAAAACTGCCTAACAGTCACAAGCCCTGGGATCCAGCACATGTAGCTCACCCCGATGTCACATATATTGGTATGGTTGCCTCATCCAAAATATTCTGAGAATGAGATCGAGGACAGCTCCCACTGTGCCAAATCCACTGCTCTGTATCCTTAAGTTTCAACATTATCTCTTCAGGCACTTGCATCCTAAATATGAGATGCAAACATCCTAATTTCCCCGGGCAGCTAGGAATGGGATAGGAATTTTTATATGTTTATATACAACATTGCTAAAGAATAATCACGGCAGGAGGTGCAGCTTTCCTTTTGGATACAAACTGGACAAGTGTCGAGAGCAGGTTCCCGCGTCTGCAGGGGGAAGGTCCCCTCCACCAGCTTGCTGCATGGTCACCCCAAACCACCTTCTGCACCACACAAAGCAGATTTACCCTGCAGCATCTCTCTTTTGGGCCAGGCACTTTGCAGAAAAACCTGCTTATCTGGCAGCTGAGCTCCCTGCATGCCACCACACAGCCCGACTGGTTTTATAGCTGCTTGGGAAACACCTGAGAGCAGATACAAACTAATAGGGCCATTAACTGCGCTGTTATAACAGCTCTCAGTATTGTCTTGGCAGCTTAAAGCCACCGAGAAACTTATTTTGGGAATATCCCATCAGAGCAAGACTTCTGGGTGAGAGAAGGAAGAGGAAAAGGAGGTGGGAAAGAGAGGAAGACCATGGTGCCTCATGGGGATTGCACGGAAATCTCTGCATGGCAATAACGTTAGAGGAGGTGACACCCCTGCTCCTGTCTCAACTGCTCTTTTCCTTCTGCCGCTTAAGGACACTGCTTTTGCATCAGAAGCATCCCCAGATCAAAAAAAGAAAGGTAAAAACCCCTGAACACCCAGGTATTTGGGCTGAAGGATGAGATTCTGCCCACAGTTACAGAAGGAAAACAATTAACAAAGGTCCACCCGAACCTGCTGACACCAAAGTTCTCAGCAATGCATGGGGAGACAAGCAGGACTGATAACTCAGCTGCTAGAAACAGGCTCCAGGTTTTCTGGCATATGGTAAAAGGAGCTGGGAAAGGCTAGACAGTGTCTTTTGAACAGCAGTTACGAGTTTGGTCAAACAAATTCTCCTCTGGCAGTCTCAGAGTGATCCTCAGTGACCAGAAATTCCCCAAGATTCATAATAAATAACTGCACAAAGATGTCATGATGGGCACAGCAGTTGGGCAGCAGGACCCTTTACAGGGAAAGCTGGATATCCATAGTGCCTTCAGATGTTTTACTCCCAAATGACCTCTGGGAACAGTACGGAAGATGCACTGCACTCATGCAAAGCAGGTGGTTTGGGGAAGAGAAGCAGAAAACTGCATCCAGCTTTGATACGGAGATATCACTACATTCCTTGAAGAATTTTCAAGTTCCTTCAAAGGCAATTTCAGACTCCTGAACACCAGACCAGTCCAGGTTCTCTTCTTCAGAGTGCTGGAGCTGCTCTTAACATATTGCCTCCACCCTCACTGTCCTGGGGGAACTCTAATGACGCCAACCAAAGTCATTCTTCACTTTCTGTGACAAAACCAAACATCTTCAGAAGCTTCCTGGTACCCCATATCCAAGCACACCTTCTACATGACCTTCTAACTTGCCAGGAACAGATTTTTAGAAGACTGCCTCCCTCCTTACTCTCTGTCTCTGCTGATGGGCTTTATATTGGTTCTTCCATCTCTCCTGAAAAGCTCTATTATTATTCTATATTATTGGAATTTAGGGCTTCCTAAATCCCATGGGTAACCTTCTGCACTTGTGCTGGCCCTGGCTCACAAGGCTCCTGCAAGGCAACTTTCTGCTGATGAGGCATCACTCCTCCTGTTCCTGTGACCTCTTCTTAGGCCAATGCAAAGCCAAGAGGTCCTAGAAGCCCTAGATCCAAGGAGGAAATCCTCCAGCATGGGTGAAATGGGGAAGACTGTGACAAGGTCCTTTGAGGACTCCAAGAAAACTTAGCAGAAGGTGCAGGGTCACAGTCACACAAAGATTAAAAGAATCCTTGTGCAGATCAGAGATGTAACAGGAGGTTGGATCAAATGAGGCCTCCCTCCAGCCTTAATAACTCTACGACAGCTCTCAACTCCAAAGACCTGAAAGCTGCCTAGTTAAACCCAAGGAATAAAAACAGATCTTAACACACTTATCTTAGAGCTACAGGTCTTATGGTTTGCTTTCAAGAGACAGTTCTGGTCCTTCAAAATTCCCGTTCCTAATCAAAATCTTTCATTCATTGCTGACTCTCATTCCTGTCCTGTTGTCCTCCTTCTCCAAATTCTGTGGCAAGACACTCGCTGAGCCCTGAAGGTCTATGACCTCTGTTAGTCAAAAGACTTCAACATTTCTAGAAAGCCCCCAAACTCTCATTTAAAATAATAATAATTAAAAAATCAACCTGTGATGACTTGAGCACCAATGTGGAAGCTGCATTGCCCTCGTTTTTCTATGCTGCCCAAACCCTACCACTGTCCCCTTGGTCCCCAAGCACGTTTTCCACCCGCTCCAAGACAGCATGCCTACCACTCAGCTCACCACCAGCAAGGGGGACAACAGAGCCACCCTGATGGGTGAAGAACCACCAGCAGCAATGTGGGTGTGAAGGTTTTCATGCAGACACTGCTGTTTTTCCTTGACAGGCTTGACAAAACCCTCATAAGACTGAAGCCTTTATGCAGGTTATTATTAAAAAAAGCCAATTTGAGGGCCCGTACAGGAGCCAGTGACTAATCCCAGCATCCCTTGGTGACAGACACCACCGAGACAATTGGCACCTGACGTGCGGGAACAGCTCCTGTGCTCCAGTTTCTTGGGCAAAAAAAGTCGCAGATTAAAAAATACTAAAAGTTAGAGAAATATTTGCAGCCAAGTTTCTCTTCTCTGTGCTTTTTCACACTGCCATTATCCTCTAGGAGAAGAATTGCCTCCTAGATGAGAGCAGAGCTCCATCTAATGCAATGTCTCATCACCAGGAGCAACACACACCGGGTGTTTTCGAGCAGAGCAAAGAGACTTACCAGACAAGTCACCAGGGAAACTTTCCTTCTGGTCCTCTTGATACCTAGGAGCTGCCTCAAGCTCAAACAACTTAACAGGCTTAACAGTGCAGATGGAAAACAAAATTTGAGGGCCAAATATCAAGCAAAAATTTCTGACCTCCTCCTGAGCCAGCCCTGGGTAAGATGCTATTTTAGGACTGTTAAATTATGTTTAATTCACTTTCATTTTCAAGTTATGTTCAGAAACTGTAACAGACAGGATAAGACAAGCTGGGAGGAAGGCTGAAACTACTTCTCTGCTGTGCATATGCTTTTAGCTGTTCCTTCTAACTGAGCCTCTGGAGGACCTCAAATGCAATTTTTTAGGTGTTTTCCTTGGCCATGGGCAGAGCCTGTGCAGGACGTGCAGGCTGAAGACAGGCCTGCCGTGTCTAGGGACTGTCACACTGCAGAGTAGTCACTTAACAGGTCACCTTCCTTCCACAGGCAAGGACGGGCCACATGTCTTGTTAAACCCCAATGGGGACCAAAGTCAAAAATAATGAATCCCAAACCTTTCCCTGTGATGCAACATGACATGCCTGCTCTTGCACCATTGGAAAAAGCCCATGGACCTCATCAGGCCAACAGGGACCAGCTGGGCACTCTGATGACCTTGGCAATTCAGCAGCAAGATCCCTTCCTCCTCTGCATCCATGCCCTACCCCATGCTTCACCCCTCTTGCGTTTGACTACAAACCCTCAAATCCATCCCAAAAGAGCAAGATGCTTCCTGCCCTACAACGCATCTTAGACTCCATGGAGATTCTTCGCAAGGAGACGGCAACTTATTGAGCATGCTGTCACCAAACTGGCCCGAGGAACCGTTGGGGGCAAAATGAACACATCCCTCCCCAGCTCGGTACGTGTGCCTCCACAAGGCAACTGTATCCACTGGGAAGGTTGCCATCTGCTCCTTCCCACCATGCTCCATGCCAAAGGACTGGATGCCCCAGCTTCCCAGAAGAATCTCCCACCTAACACACCTTGTTCCTAGATGCGTTTGGTAATTCATGACCAAACAAGAAAAAGTTCAGTCTTTTTTCTAAGTTCCCATGTAGGTTTGTAGTTCTGGCATTTCTTGTAAACTCATAAGCCTGAATTAATTTAAGTTGGTATGAGAGACAGGTGATAAGCACTGCGATCTACTGTACCAAAATTGCAGGCTTGCCTTGAGAAATAAGATTAAATAAATGTCCCAAAATTTTCTAGTATAATTTGTCTGACCTTTTAATTAAGGAAAAAAAAAAAGCCCTCTGTCTCTATGGTTTCAGAACTACAGACCAACAGAAGTGAAGGAAGGACCCAATCCAAACCCCAATGAAAGGTCACTAGACGAGTTATTAATGGAAAGCCAACAAAGGTGAGGACACCTGGACAGAATATCATCAACACGTCCTGTTTCTCTACTCCAAAGGAGCCAAGTGGGCATCCAATTTCAATCCTCTGCACAACTATGGATTGAAGTCGACGTGAGTTTGTCAGCAGCTTCAGCAGATCCTTGTAGCATGGCCAATTTCCTCATCACTCATCACAGCCCAGGCCTGATTTTCACTGCTCCAGAATGCAGCCATTCCCCAAAGAGACACATTTCTCACTTTAGGCCTGTGGCACAATTCAGCACAACAAGGTTAACCAACCAGAAGACCCCCCACCCCAGGTACACTTTTTCCATATACTGAGTACCACAGAAGCATAAACTCCGAAGTCTGGAGACATTACTCTAAGTGTAGTTGACTTCACCCCAAATAACTCCAGCAGGAAGATTTTGTTCTTCCTTGGGACAAAACAAGGATTGAGGCAGGGAGGAGCGTCAGGTCCTGGATCATGGTGAAATATCAGAAAGTCACAAGCAGGTGCTGTCTTAGGTGAAGCCCAGCCAGACACAGGAGTTTTGATGTTATATGGTATGAACAGGCTTCCCACTTTATAAAGTGGCAGCAAACTTCTTCCAAAGAGGCTTACAGTGGTTCTCAAGCAAAACAACAGCCAATGTCTGGCCCTAGCCCTCAGCACCCAAGCAACACATGTCCTTTATCCTCCTGTGAGCTCCAAAATGTCTGTGAGCTGAAGGATGACCCATTCTTTAACCTTTGAGAAACCCTAATTTGACAGCAGAAAGGGGAGCGGTTTTCTTTACCTTGCACTCTTCATCCAGCAGGTCCAAGATACCAAGTTTTGCTTCTATAAGGTCAATGCAGGGCTGGTTATCATAGAAGTCTATGAGCGTCCACGGGATTTCTTCCTTCATGTACTCTTCTTGTTCCAGCTTGAACACATGCTGAGATGAGAAGAGCAAAATTACCAACCTGCACCTTGAACACCCCAGGGCCAGCTCCCTTCATTCTTCAATACCATGAAGAGTTTTCCTGCAGCATGTCAGGAAGTCACAGAAACTTTAGACGCTTTGTGCACGTAATGTACATGAGCAGGAGATACACCTGGTGCTAAGAAAAATTCCTCTCCCCTTTGGGACTCCACTGACTAAACAAGGGACCTTCAGTGGATTCACTAGCACGAAGTCAGGCCACATTGACCATGCGTGCCCCAACGGATAATCACCAATCCACAAAGCTTCCTAGGAGAGATATTGCCCTCAGCACCGTAACTGACTCATGAACATCCCTATTGCAGATTCTGATTTTTCTAAAAATAGCAATAATAATAATAATAATAATAATAATAAAAGGTTATTTCTATGGCTTATATATCTCAGACCTATCCGCAGGGAGATAAATTGTCTTTGGCTATTTCTGAGACATTAAGCATATTAAAAAGAAAGATTTTGCAAGTGCACTTCTTTTTCTTCAAAAGATGGCTTTTTAAAATCTCTTCAAACATGTCATCTCTGAGTTCAAATTTATAAGCTTTAGAAGTGATAGTTGGACACATTAAGAAAGATATGCACTGTGCAAACAACCTGTCATTTCCCTTTCATTTTTACAAGCGGTGATCTGATGAATCAGAGATATCTCAAATGTTTATGCCAGGCAGGCGATACTGTTTCAGAGTGCCCCACTCCTCCCGCAGTACTTAGCTGCTCCAGTTTAACAGATTTTCCCTCAAATACTGAAGCTAATAGCAAGTCTTTCCCTGCCTACAACCAGAGCAGAAGATGACCCCTTAATGATTTTGCTTTCAGTCCAGGTAAGTGCTTGTACTTAATAAAAGAATTTGTAGTGTCATGTTAAAAAAGGAGGGTGTCCAGCTGAGCCATGTAATCCAGAATTTCAGTTGTTGTGGTTGAAGCCACATTTAATCAAGAGGTTTTCACTCGTGCTTTATCACAGAAGGAAAATCAGGGCTGAGCACAACCATCTGTCAGCTCCAGCTCGGCTTCGGAATGAAACCATGCAAACCAAAGCTGGCAAACTCCCAACTTACTCAAAAACATCAGTGGTCCTTTGCTTAAACCATTTGTAAATCTGCTTCCAATATCAATTTTATAAAAAAAACAAGCGCCACTTCCAACTTGGTCCAAGTATGCAGTGCACAAGCCTTGCCCATGAGAGATGGTATCGCAAGGACGACGTTTGTGGCCATTAAAGTACAAAGCGGATGTGCAATTGTCTGGCCCCAATGAGTTTTCTAAGTTTCATGGCACATTTCCAAGTCGACCTTACCAAGTTGAACTGCTGCTGGAGCTTTTCGTTAGCATAGTTGATACAAAACTGTTCAAAGCTATTCACTTCAAAAGTTTCAAACCTGCAAAGCAATGAATAAATCAGCATTAAGGGTCACCGCTTATTAAAAAAATCTACTTCACTCTGTGGTGGTGTCATCTATGTGACAGGAAACATCAGTTATTCAGTCTTGTTGAATTCCTTCTATCCCAAGTCTACACTTTACTCCTCGTACCCCGAATTTGTATCTTTCCTTTCCAAAACTCAAGGGATTCACAAAGTCTGTTCTCATAAGCACAAGTCTGATATTTCGTACAGCCATAGCTGCTTGCACATTAGACAGTAGTGTCGTCTGAGACGAGAAACATAACAATCCCTCTTGAGGAAAAATATCATTAAATATTAAGGGCACATATATTCACTGCGAAGGTGATGGCCAATCACTTGCTGCTGTTGTTTAAAAAAAAAAAGATGATATTATTTTTAGTGCAATTTAATAGAGCAGAAAGAAAAATTCATAATTACAGCCTCTGCATTGCATCCTTATTTTACTCCTATTAATTTTAATAATGAGTTTTAAGGCATGGTTGGCAAGGCATAAAACTTTTGACAAATTTCTGTAGGGATTAAACTTATAAAAAAACATGGCCCCTCCATCACTCCACAGTGAGTGGAGTGGCATCTCCACTGCTGCAATAAGTGTACGGTGCTTGGGTTGGGTAAAGGGTGCTCTATTGAGCCCATGGGTGCTACAAGAACAGTCTGAGAGCACCGCACAACTGACGCATCTTTTTTTCTTCTCAAAATCAGTGCTTTTAGCACTTTTTGGTTACCAGTTGGCTGCTACCCAGGTTTTGCAGTTTTTACACTTTTGGAACACACGCTGTAACATACAGAACTGCCAGACACTGGAGGGTCTGGGAAGGGCAGAAACCAAAGACAGGTATTAACCACATATAAGTTATTTTTTTCCCCAGAAAAGGAGCTATTTAAGCTATTCTTCCCAGAAAGGATCTTGAAGGGAGAGACAAAAAAAAAAAAAAAAAGGGAAGTGTTTCTCGAGCACCCAAACGTTGCATTTTCTAATCAGGCACTGAAAGGAGCCAGCTCTGAGGGAGCTGATGCAAACCTGCTGGTTAGGGAACCACTCTTGCGCTGTTCGCTAACTGGGAGAGCAGTTTGTTTTGCCCGTTCTGTTTGCATCCTGGCTCCAAAAAGGTGCTAAGCTAAGGCTTTGGGAAAAGGCCATAAATGGCTATTTTCTCTTAATCACTTCCCAAGCATTCCTCTATATCTTGGTGCAAGAAAACACAACTCGCCCACCCTTCCCCTCACACCGAATCCAGCTCTGTATTTAAGTCCATTAATATCTTTGCACAGTTACTTGCTCCATTTCATCTTTTCTCCTTATTCTACCATGTAACCTGCAGGTCCCAAACCTGCTGAAGTGCCAGGTCTTATACTAAAATATTTAAAGTTCATAAATAAGCTCAGCACGTGGCTGCCCGTTGCTCACACTAGCTTTCATGCTGCAAACAGCAGATGAATGAAAACAAACCGTCCCTGACGAATCCCAAAACGTCTCCAGGAATTTGCTCTTCAAAAAGCTCACAAGGAGCCATGGAATTGCGGGTGCTAAGTGACCCGTGATTCCTTTGCAGTGAGCCCAGCACACCCAAACACACAGCGATTAGGCACCTGCACAAAGTACTGACAGCAGCGTTGGAGTAAACTAGTTTTCATGCAAAGGAACACAGTTCCTTCAATTATTTATTTCTGTTAATAATTTACTCAAGTTACTTGATTATTATTTATTGCAATTCAGCATTATAAGGCTTCAAGGTGCTGCTCCTTGTCCCTCAGATGTGACAACCAGTGATGATTGCTCTGCAAAGCAACAACGTTAACCCCTACACGGAGGTGACCGCACTGCAACTCGCTCTTTAACACTACAACTATGGTGAAGGATGCATGGTCAATAATCACAGCACAGCTTTTACTGCTGCATGCTTTCACTCCCAAAACTAACCTTGGATTACAAGTATCATTGCAATTTTTATTACCAGGCCTGAGCACAGTCTGATTGCGCTTCAGCTCACACCGTGGCACCCGAGGGGGAAGGCTACGTGCTGGCCACCGTGCTTGACGTGACATGCGGAGGAGACCAGCTCCCAGGAGAGATTTTTGTTCCACACTAACAGGTTTTCATGCCCAGCTTAATCTTTCATGAACTGTTCTCAAGTCTCCTTGCACTCACTGCTGAAAGAGTGCATCCCTTTTCCCAATTCGGACATCCACCGGGCTACAGCACCCCAGCTTCTCCATCTCACCCTCCTTTCCACCTTCTAGGGTCTCTGACAACTACCTCAGAGAGGCTGCACACATGCAGAGCTCTCACCCTTCCAAGCCATCCTGCTGGGATCCCAACCCAAATGCAGCTATATTCCTGCCATACTTGGTAAGTTTTCCAGGAAACCTTGATGCGGCTGTTTGACGGGACACTACAACCACCAGCCCAACTACCAGGACTTGCAGAAACCCCATGGGAAGTTGCATGCACAAGCAAGCACCACGGTCTAACCCCAGTCACTGAGTGGGTATTGTAGCTGTAAAAACCTTCTGCAGCTGACCCAGAGCCTCTTAGGCAGGATTTAATTCTGAACTTTAGCTACATTCGATGGCTCTGGCAAGGAGCTGGCACTAGACACGATCTGGGATTGAGAAAGCTCAGAAGCTGCACTAACTCCAGGAGCAGCTCCCAGAGCAGCTGTGGCTGGTCCAGGACACCCCACGTCTCCTAAAACAGGAACAAGGGAGTATCCTGATGTACTGAGGAAACACAGAGAGTCACTACTGCCCCACTTCTCCCTTTTCCTTGCTCCCCAAAGAGGCAAAAAAGATATAGTGTGAACGAGAGGAAAAATCCCCAAAACTGGAGGCCTCTTTCCTTTTCTCCAGCAAAGGAAATGGGAATAGTCGTGTTTATGGGGATAAACAATTCTGACAATGGATGATGCTTCAAGCTTCTTCCATGTCTCATTAAGAAAACGCCTGTTTTCATCTGAGGGCCTGGCACAGGTCTGGCCCCTACTTGCAAGGGGCAAAGTGCCTTTCCCCCCAGGCCATGCCAGAAAGTCTCTGTTTCTGTCATTCTCAGCCCTACCACAGACCATCTGGGACAAGAGCTCAATGTAGACACTTTGGAAGATCAGAGGGCTCTGCTGGAAAGGTGAACCAAATTGAGGAGGTCTCCCCATAGCCACCTAAAGAGTAAGAGCATCCCCACCTATAGATGTCGAGCACGCCGATGAAGGAGTGCTGCTTGACGGTGGTGTGCAGGGCCTTGTTGATGTGCTGCACGATCCAGTCGAAGAGCTGGGCATAGATGTGCTTCGCCAGGGCATCCCGGGCGTCGAATGCCTGCTGCAGGGACATGCTCTTCACGTAGGTCTCAGCCGTGGTGACCAGCTTGCGGTGGCAGAGCCAGTACATCATCTGGCTGTGCTCCACGCCCAGCAAGCTGCAGAAGGTGGTCAGGTGCTCGTCCGTGCTCTGCAAGGGGAACAACAGGACACAAACGTGGCAGGCGCTCTCCAACACTTGCAGGGCGCATCTAAAACCGCTTCCCTTCCCACCGCCGCCATCCAGCCCCACTAGATGTGGGCAAAGAGGTGAGATGGCTCGCACTTAACAACGAGCAGTGATGCTGCATAGGTTTGCTATGCTCCAGCTATATTTATCGTCTCTATCTTCACGGAAGAGTAGGTCTGCATGGTGAGTGCCACCACAAAACACCACTGGTGGCTTTGTTCCCACTTTCTGTCCACTTTGTAGTGACACCATGTGCTTCAGAGGAGGTGCTCCGCTCCCAGAAGCGTTTCCCAAAACCCCTTCCATTTCAGCTTGTGCTATGAGATGACCAGGATGGACAGGATGACAGCCCCCACCGTGTCACTGGCATCTAGCATTTAAAGCCACCGAGGGGCAGGTTTAGCTCTCTGGCATCTTTGCTCTACAACTGCTATTTTCAACACCAAGCAGAAGTAGACTAAGACCAACCAGAGCTGAGCACAAAGCCAGCACGTCATTGTATCCCCTCTCCTACAACGTAACTCCACCACTTTCGGATAACCAAGCTGCAAAGTGGTGTTAAGAGAAGGGGCATAATCAATAAAATCAAAACTCAGCTTAGTTTTCTTCAGTGTATTTTCTTTCCTTATACAACATTAGACAACATCTTCCAAAGTCTACTATGTTAAGAGAGCAGGCACCTTTGGGACAATGAGAAATTAGGCTTCCTTTTGCCACTGTCACACCAAAAGGAAGTTGTTTCCAACTATATATGTATTTGCATGGAAAGGAGATGGGCTTGGAAACAGGGAGAAAAATGCAGTTTCAAAGTCTTCCAGGGCACTTTGTTGCTCTAACACATTTTTGACTGCAGATTCAAAGCCCTCACAGGGTTGATTTAATACCACGCAATTAAACTTGAAGGTAATTAAACAACGTGAACTTCATTGCAGAACTCAACGCTGCCAGAGTGGACAATGTTTCGTATCCACATTGCCAAATATCGAGCAAATTACCCCCAGCATCCAACTAATTGCATGCAGCATTATCTCAAGGGTAACACTAGAAGCGTGTGCCGAACCCATTTTAATATTTTACTTAGGAATAAACCATCTAGTTTGGGAGGCAATGATAATTGATAGGACAGTGTTTGCCACAAAAATTGCCCCTTTTTTTTGTTCCCCTGAACAAACACATGGAAAGTCATCACCAAGGCATCTTTGGTCTTATTTATTCCCAGTAATTAGGTGCAGTACTTAGCAGTCATGCCTTGACCTGCACGGTACTCCTTCGAACACACCACAAACATGACAGCGGCCATCGAGTGTCAATGCCAAGAGAGTTTTGCTTATTTTTCCTTAAATCCCCATTTCCTGATGGACCCAATATGCTGATGGCACTCAAGGATTTGCTAGTTTTCCTGCAGCAAAGGTGGTTGTGGAAAACCAACACCTTTAAGAAAGGCAGAAAAGCTAAAGCAATGCTGGGGCTTAAGGCATTAAGTGACATTTGGGGCTTTTCTTAAAGCGAAGAAAGGATCACGCTGTTTACAGGCAAGTCAGGGATGAGAAACAGGCTGCTGCTTCCCAGGAAGAAGCCAAGCATTCGGGATGTGACTCTTGATGGGTTTCCAACATGAAATAACGGAAAACAGGAGGAAAAGGATTCCCCCTAGGGATACATACCAAGGTCCTGTGAACCAGGAGACATCCAGCCTAGGCTGCACAGGCAGCTTCTCCCACTCTGGCCACCCACCTACCGAGATGCTGCAGGCCTCCCCATCGCGCTCCTCTTGGATTCCCAGGTTGCCCAGGTGCAGAATGGCAGCAATGATCTGGAAGACCGTGCTCTGGTCGGACTCCTTCATTCCTGCGGGAGCAATGGAGAGCCCATCTGCACTGGAGGGCACAACTCATGGCTTTTAAGCCAAACGCTGCAAGGGGGGTTGATTTCTGCTGGAAAATTTTCTAGTTCCAACTTTTCTGCAACACTGTGCAGAAGGGACCGTCAAGGCGACCACAGGAGCTCTTCATATCCACTACTATGTTTTAACCCTTACTAATATCATAGTTGTGAGCACGAGGGGACATAAAACAAAACAGGGCGAGCTCCCAAAACTTACTTGGCTCCTTACTGCCACTGTTAGCAAAATGCTTCTTGCAAGAAGCCTGTGCAGGAGCCCTTACCAAGCAGAGTGAAGGCATGTCTGGTCTTCTCCAGGTCTTCAGCGTCGTCCACACCCTCAATGGACATGTTATCTCCCTGTGACGTGTAGAAGAAGTCTTTGGCACAAGCTGGGGGAGAAGGAACAAGAGCAAGGGCATCAGCGAGGCAGCACAACCTTGACGGGGCATAAAATACGTTCTCTGCCCAAGCATATATATGTATATATATATATATATACACACACACATTTCTATACATACACACAAAAAATGAGTGTGTATACCTATATGTGTATTTAGATGCACGAAGTGTATGCATGGATATATAAATGAAGTTCAGC